TGCGGGAAAGAGGGAGACCTGGGTGGGCACCTGTAGCTGGGAAGGTCCGAGCGGCTCTGGCGAGGAGGACGGGGCTGGGCTTTCATACAGGGCTTCGGAGCGGGCAGGAGAGTCTGAGCAAAGGATGGGTTTGATTGTGAAAAGAGAAGCTGCCGCATATGCTGACTGTCCTCGAGGAAACCGGGTTGAGCACTTTGAGGAGCAGGGATGGAGATTGAAGGGGAGTTGAGATACTAACGTAAAAGGAAGGTTAATTAGAGGAAGAACCACAGTAGTGTGAGCGGCGGGTAGGATCCAAGTTGATCGTGGAGTGCATTGGATCAAAATGCTGGCGAGATCGTGGCACTAAAGGGCCCCGAAGGGTTCTGTGACGCCCTTGATCGCTGGGGAGTCAGGGAACCGTGAGCTTCGTCAGGAGTGGCGTCTTTGGGGCGTCTTCCCCGCGGCGGCTCCCCGGTGGCGTCTTTCCTTCTCTTTCGCTCCACCCCCAACGCGAGGGGGCGCCGGCGCGCTCGCGCACTTCCAAAACTAACTCTGGGTGACTCTCGTCCTGGGACTACCTAACTTGGGGAAGAAACGGAAAGCCTTTTGTTTGTTTTGGTTTTGTGGAGCTGGTATTGAACCCAGGGCCTCCCTCCTGCTAGGCAAGCGTCCTACCACTGAATTACATCCTCAGCCACTAGGAACGGGAAATTTCGAAGAGAGTCGGGAATGTGCGAAATTTGGGTCAAAAGAGTCTTAAACGGGGAAGGTGCAGTGTGGTCTGCCGTTGGAGTAGAGCCTGAGGAAAGTGATGTTTGGCTTGAGGAGGAAAGATGGGTGGTAGGCAGCTGTTGAGTGCTGTGGGGCAACGCTGTATAATAGGAAACAGACTGGAGGAAAATGCTTAGGAGGTCAGAGTATTGGGACTTGGAGAACGGAGGCAGAGAATATAGAGACTTAGGAGTGGTTAGAAACTAATAATGAAGATTAAGGGAGGGCTGAGGAGGCTCTGAAGAAAAGTAACAGATTGTGTGTGGGAGGCAAAATGTGTGTATGGGGGGGAGTGAGTCAGAAACTGTTCTAGAGCTTCTGTCAGAAATGTCTGGTGTTCCGCAATGACTGTTGCTTTTACACCAAACCCGTGAGGCTACCTGATATTGGAATTTTTTGTTTGTTTGTTTTTTTGAGACCGGGTCTCAGTATGTAGTTGAGACTGACCTGGAACTCACTATGTAACCCAGGCTGGTTTTGAACTGACAGTGATCCTCCTGCTTCAGTCTCCCCAGTGCTGGGATGACAGGCGCGTGCCACCAGACCTGGCTGGATGCTTTACTGGAATAGGCCTGGGATTGCATCTTTGACATTTTTTTTTTTTTAAGGTACTGACTGTCAAACCCAGGGGTGCTCTACCACTGAGCTATATCCCTGATCCCCTTTATATGTATGCATATGTATATATGTGTGTGTGTGTGTGTGTATTTTTTTTTTTTTTAAATTTTGAGATAGGGTCTCACTAATTTGCCCAGGCAGGTGGGACTTTTGTCTCAGCTTTTCAGAGTGATGGGATTGCAGGTGTGGGACACCATCGTACTAGGAATTGAATCCAAAGCCTTTGCACTGAGCTGTATCTCCAGACTTTTTTTGTTTGCTTGTTTGTTTTTCGACAAGGCCTTACTAGGTAATTCAGGTTGGCCTTGAACTCACTGTGGTGCCCAGGCCGACTTCACACAAGGCAATCCTCCTGCCTCAGTCTTATTTTGAGGCAAGGTCTTGCAAAGTTGCCTAAGCTGGGCTCCACCCATCCATTTTTTTGTTTTCTGTTTTTTGAGACAGGGTCTTGCTGTGTAGTACAGGCTGGCCTTGAACTCAGATGATCCTTGTGCCTCAGTCTTCTGAGCGCTAAGATTACAAGTGTACACAACCAGGCATGGCTTTCTGTCCTCTGCCTCAGCCTTCCGGAGTGCTGGGATGACAGGCTTGCTCCACCATTCCCAGCCACGTTCTTACCATTTTGAAATGGCTAGAGAGTTCTATCTTAAACATTCTAGCTTAGATGAGGGAATAGTCACAGACACCTTCATAAAATGAGGTTTTATTTATGTGCATCTATTTTTAGTTTCTGGAAAGGTGGTTTTTGCCTTTCCTGTAAAAACATTAGAGAACCAGAATAACTCATCTTGCATTCTAAGCATGAAAAAGGATGAAAAGTGATGCTTTTTAATACAATAATTTCTTAATTCGAAACAGTCTCTCCTTAGTCCCCAAACTAGAAAGAAGAATAATTGTGCATGACCTTTAAGCAAGCTTCGCAAAAGCAGTGTGTTTGTATCACAAAATGTGATTCAGCCTCTATCTGAATCATTTTGACAAGGAAATGTTTGTCATTTATTGATGAATCTTCTTCCTTTTCCATCTTACTCCTAGATTAGATAATTGCATGATCAGTTTTAGATGTTACTGTTTGATTTTTTTTTTTTTTTTTTTTTTTTAGGTATTTCTTTTGGGGAAGATCCTAGAACTAGAAGTTAATAATACAGATTGTATAAATGTTTTTCTGTTTTTACCAGGATGAATACTAGGCTTCAGTGGAATTTATAGCTCCTTGAGGTTATTATGTTTACATGTGAAGTTAAAGTATAAAAATATCTTAAGTTTAAATAATATTTTTTTTGGGGAAACACTAAAGATTGAATGTAGAACCTTTTTATTGAGCCATATCTCTTGGTCTTTTTTTCTTTAATTAAAAAAAATTTCTTGGGGCTGGGAATTTAGCTCAGTGGTTGCGCCACCTGCCTCACAAGCACACAGTTCTGAGTTTGATCCCCGGTACCGGAAAAAAAAATTTTTTTCTTTTGCAGACAAGAACTCTATAAAGTTGATAAATTGCCAAGGCTAGCCTCAGAACTCGCCATCTTCCCTTGTTAGCCTCCCAGAGTGCTGGGATTATAGGCATGGGCCACCATGTCTACTTTATTTAATTTCTTACACACTGCTCTGCTTTGGTACAAATGGATTAAGAAAAATTCTGTTTGGCTGGGCGTGGTGGCTCATGCATGTAATCCCAGCATTTGGGAGCTGGGGCAGGAGGATCTTGGAGAGTTGGAGGCCAGTCTGGATTACATAGTTAGTTCAAGGCCAGCCTGAACTGCATAGTGTGACCCTGTCTCAAAACATGCAAGAGAAAAAGAAAAATTCTGTTAAAAAAATATGCCTGAAAGCATTTTGGCATCATTGTGTAGAGATAGAGTTGACTGTTTCTGTGTATCTGCACATTCAATTAGGTTTGGGCTTAGTAAATTCAATTTAATAGAATTTTTCCTTTCAAGGATATGTTTTGAGGAAGATAAGAGGATTGGAGGAGGGTGCTTCTCTGTCTAGATATACTAGGGGGTTAGGAGGTAGATAGGAATACATAATGGTGTATGATCTCCTAAATTGTTTTGTTTTTTTGAGACAGGGTCTCACTATGCAGTTGATACTGACCTGGAACTCACTATGTAGCCCAGACTGGTCTTGAACTCAACAGCAATCCTCCTGCCTCAGCCTCCTGAGTGCTGCGTGTGCCACCATGCCCGGCGATTTCCTAACTTGTTAAAGGCTGACAGTCTAGCCTTGTAGAAATTCAGGGTGTGTGTGTGTGTGTGTGTGTGTGTGTATGTGTGTGTGTGTATGTGTGTGTGTGTGTTTCAGCAACTCAAAAGCCAGTGTGTGTGTGTGTGTGTGTGTGTGTGTGTGTGTGTGTGTGTGTGTGTGTGTGATAGTAGGGATCAAACTTAGGACCTTGTGCTTGCAAGGCAGGCATGATGCCACTGAACTAAATCCCCACTCTATTGTTTTGATGTTCACTTTGAAGGCCACTTAAGTTTTGGTAAAGCCCTGAAATCCTAAAGGTAGGTTCTCTGGCAATGTTCAGATGGATACATCAGGGTTCAGTAACAGATGGACCAACAGTTTCTTTTCTGTGCTTTGTGTTGGTGGGGATTGAACCCAGGGCCCGCACACTGATACATATTTCCAGCCCTTTGTTTATTTATTGCTGTATTAGGGATAGGACTCAGCCTTTGCGCTGCACTACATTACATCCCCAGCCCTTTTTTATTTGTTTGTTTTGAGACTGGATCTCCCTAAGTTGTCCAGGCTGGGTTTAAACTTGCCATCTTCCTGCTTTGTCCTTGAGTTATTCTGTGCCAATAAAAAAACTTCTGCCTAGATTGTTTTACCGTTAAACTAGAGCTGGTCTTTTATTCTGCTGACATGTGAAAAACTGGGTAGAACACAGCATCAGCTCTAAGAGATATTTAATATCTTTTCCTTTAGAGTAGTTAACATATTGGATTTTTGTGGGAGGCAGTTATAAATGAATGTGATGCTGCCTGTAATCCCATGATTGGGAGGCTGAGGCAGGAGAATTGCCGCGAGTTGAAAACCAGATGACTACATAGTGAGTTCAAGGCCAGCCTGGATTACATAGTGAGACCCTGTCTCAAAACAGCCACCACCACCACCACACCCCACCAAATGAATGTGATCTGCAGCAGCCATCTTAAGTACTTGTTCTTCCACTTTTGTTGTTAATAAAAGGTGATACAGTTTGCCGTTTAGTGTCAGCTGTTTAATGTGTAAAGAAAATTTATTCTTTCCCTTCCTTTCACTCCCATTCTCATCACTTGGCCACCCTTATGCAATAATAAAATTAGCTCTGGTGAAGTGTTGTTGACAGTTACCATCTGTCACATCAGTGTTTAGAGAATCTAAACTTCAGTTTC